ACCTTGACTTCTCCCCGAGGACAGATTTTTGACACCTAGCTTGGACTTAGCACGTGCAGGGTTTGAGACGATTCACCGAGGGAAGCAATGGAACAGAAAAATAAGGGACAATAAAATGTGCAAACGCTGTAATAGTTGCAGTGGTCACGTGTAGGATTTCCAGGTGACGACTTCTCACGGATGCAGAAAGACTTTGCTTTTTCTTACAGTGGGAGATGTATGAGGCTAGACACGTGCGAGTGATTATGGGGACAACAGGCCCAGCTGTGGACGCTGACGTTGTATGTAGCTCAGGCGGTTTGGATGCGAGGCTAGCAGGGCTTCTGCAGTGGGGCAGGTAAGCAAGAGGAAGAAGCACCTTCGCCTCTGTTTGGGGAAACCAACTCACCTGGTCTTTGAGGGCTGATTGGGTGATTGACAAAGTCCAATAGGTGTGGAGAACTCGGGCGTTGCTGTGGGGGTGGCGTGAGGCTGTGCCTCAGGAGATGGCGAGAGGAAGTTAGGTGGCAGCTCGTGGTCCTAGGTCTCTGGGCAGAGACTCTCAGCTGGGATCCAGAGGTCAGCCTGAGGCTTGCTGTCTCCTGAGTCCCTCTGTCTCTGGTGGTGGCGGCGTTTCCTGATCACACTGATGTCCACGAGGGAAATACTTCTGAGCGCTCTCGTGGCTCCTTGGTCCAAATTTTGCCTTAGAAGATGTAAAGTTTCTCTTTTCCTCTAAAAAATTAGTATATGTGACCGCCTAACATTTCGCTGCTTCTCTTTAGCATCTGGGCAGAGCATTGAACTGGTTCCCCTCAGTGGCACATTTCACCAGCTTGGCTCTGCATCTTGTCAGGGTCGACGATTTGGCTGCAGGTTGAAAACGTAGGTATTTGGTTGCAAAGTCCGTATTTTGGGGTTTGAATCTTCTAAACCACGATGGGATGACTGGACCTAGGTGGCTCCGGATACAGGACATGCTTAGGGAAATGGTGGTTTGGGGGTCGGGTCAGGCTGGGGCGCAGCTCTAGGAGTTCCGATCCGAGGATGAGTTGCTAGCGTTGGCTGCGAGACGTGGCAGGGTCTTGGCTGTAATCGTGACCCAGGAGGGAACTCGGGTTCTTTACCTCAGGCAATTTCCGTGGCTTGAAATTTACTCCCTTTCCTCCGATGCTAATTAAAAAGTTAATATTTTCTCCAACCCTAGCTTGAGAATTTCCTTCACAATTCTCATTAAGTCAACCCATTCATCCATTCACTCATTCGCTCACTCATTCATTCATTTATTAAATATATTCCTTCGGTTGGCAGGTGTTTATTAGGTACCAAGCGCTAGGTACTGAGTGAGGCGTTGGAGAGTCAAAACCAGCCAGGCCTTCGCCTCATCCTGAAGAAGCTCACTCGCTACGATTTCTTCACTCACTGGAATTCTTATCACATCGACCCACCCGCACGGGCCACACCTCGGTCTATCCAGTCGTTCCTCGGTGTTCATGGAATTGGTTTTCTGTTCAATTTGTTGTTTTTATTCCTAGTATATTCTCTGAAGTGGCCTGTCTCCCCCGAGTGACTAGACATTTTTATTAGCAAAAATGACGCCTTCTTCTTTTTTATACCTCTTCATGGGGCCTGATACTTTGCACAGAATGGGGCCCGATACACATTGCTAACTTTCTCTCCGGGATGCACGAAGGGTGTTGGTAGATAATTATTTTTACACAGGATTACTGGTGTTATAAATAGAAATTTGAGGGGCTTAGGGTATAGAGTCTACAGACATGAAAAGGGTCGCCCCAACACAGCCTCTGTATCAGTCTGAGGACTAAACACAGCCTTGCTTGCCCTTTCATACACCAGACACGCTCAAGACGGTCTCGCTTCTGAAAGGACCCCAGTATGTTTGGCATTGGTTCTTAGTGACGGGGTGATTAAATGGAGGCTCTATCTATCTGGGCATCTTTGCTGTGTGTTGCAAGCGTTCAAGAAGGACACCATTAGGGAATTCCTCTAATGAAGAGCATAAACAGTAACTTTCCTTCGAGCTGTCAATGAGGAAAGAGGCTGTTGTTCCGGTGAATTCCAGTGACCCTTAACTCTAGAGGAAGCCCGGAGTCGGAACACATTTTTATAAATAATACGCTGTTTGCTTTGCAGTGCCGATAATTTCTTCCTGCCTTTGAGGCTGTCAGATAACCAGGAGGCTTATTGTCTCTTAGGACAAAGATATTTGCAGAAGAACTGATCGAACTATTATTATTAATAATCTCATTACTGAGGCATCACCGATGCTTTTGTGCTTATGAAGCTACTAAACAGATTAAAGCTTTATTTTGAAAATGATGGAGGCATACAGGAGCAAAGCAGCTTACGAGCAGGGGGTTGGCAGTGGGTGGGGCTTTGGGGAGTGGTTCTTTCCTAGCTGGGGCACATCTGGGTTTGGGAGAACTGCTGCCTCATTCCTGCAGGAAGGCAACCCTTCTAGAAAGGGGTCTTCTAAGGAATGGTCATAGAAGCTCCTAAATGTAGCCATGACAATGGACTACCTTTGCTAATGAGATTTTTTTTTTTTTTTTTTTGATAAGGGCACTGACATGCTCCTTGAAAAAAGGGATAGGGAAAGCTCATTATAGCCACAGACAGAGGCTACTAGCAAAGGAGACAAGATTTCGCCCTTTGCTTTGCTGGGAATCAGAAGGAAAAAGGGAACTATGATGGAAGACAGAGCTGTCCTCCCTATGTCCATATGCATGGCGTTCAATTAGAGGATAATGGATTCAGTGTGCCATTTTTCATTCTCACACATGCTTGTCCTATCTTGGACTGAGCGTCTAAGTGGCTAGAACATTCAGCCAAAAGAGGCCAAGGCTGAATCTCTTCCCATAAAGAGCAGTGAATTTCATGGCCCACATCTTACCCCAGGAGGCTCTGCCCAAGTGGAGCAAGCAGCCTTCACCGGTAGGGTCCCCAGATAAAATACAGAACACCCAGTTCAATTTGGATGTTAAATAAGCGATATATAATTATTTGGTATAAGTATGTTTCAAATATGTCAGGGGACATATGCTAAAAAATAATTTATTATTTATCCGAAATTCAAATTGGACTGGGTGTCCTGTATTTTTGTTTGCTAAATCTGGCATCCTTTCGTAGGGCAGAATATAAGGGGTGGGGGCTTCAAAATACCCCTCCTGGCCCCTAACAGCTGGCTACAGATCGACCACCCACCCCTGATCTCAGTCTCCACCGCAGATGAACCTTGGAGCAGAGGTAGGTAGATCCTGTCGTTCCCAGAATGTTCTGTCCTTCTGGGGTTTCCTCTCACCCCGCCTCACCGCCTTGAGTGTGGGGTACCGAGTAGCCTGGGAAGACACTGTGTGAGGCTTGCAGATGCGCTTCCGTGTGGAGGCAGCAACAGCAGCCTGATGGCCGGGGCAGTGTGGACCCTAAAGTTGGGGACATGGATCCAGGTGGGGTGTCCCTCAGCCCTCCGGGTCCGGGGCACCGGATGGGGGATGCAGCCCCAGTGCACCTTGGGTAAGCAAAAGGAGAAATGTGTCCTCTTTCCTCCCTATCTCTTCTTTCTCTCTCTGAAGAGTTTCCCAAAGGTTTAAGACTGTTTCTCGCATTAGCGCGATGCGTATTCGGAGAGTCGGTGGCGCCTGAGGGGAGAAAGAACCCTTCAGACCAGGTCTTCCCAACGCCCCTGGGGTGGCGGGGATGCCATGCGGCAGAGACCTTCTTCCTCTCTTTTGAACCCGATGACCTTACACGTGGAGCCAGGCTGTAGGAAATTCAAAACAGAACAACAGTAACATCAACAACGACCACGGGAACGTAAAAATCGGACGCTTCAAAGCGTACGAGTAGCCCCTCGTATAATCTTTTATTTAATTCTAACAATGGAGAAATTGTTACAGGCGCTGAATGCCTCGCAAAGACCACTGACCGAGTGACAGCTGGTTTTTAATATTTAGGTTAAGACCTTTTTTGCTTCGCAGGGAGGAGGCAGAGGGCACGCAGGTGTGTGAAATACCTTTTGCTTTGCAGGGAGGAGGCAGAGGGCACACAGGTGTGTGAAATACCTTTTGCTTTGCAGGGAGGAGGCAGAAGGCACACAGGTGTGTGAAATACCACTGACCGAGTGACAGCTGGTTTTTAATATTTAGGTTAATACCTTTTTTGCTTTGCAGGGAGGAGGCAGGGAAGGGTACAGAGGGAGCCTAAGATGCACCCCTATCTCTCAGTGCATGTTGGATAAGCCTTGAGCTTCGACCCCTTGACCAGCTCACGGGAGGGTCTGGGACATCCGAGGTCAGACGGCCCTCCGGAGGCCTCCGTGGCTGGGTCTGGAGCAGCCTCCTGTTTGGGCTGTTCCTCCTACTTGGAGCCCATGGTGGGGAGTGTGTGATGTGCTGAGCCCTAACTGAATTTCCAGGTAACGACACACTGCTGGGCCCCCTTCAGCGCGGGCTTGTTGAGAGAACTTTGTCTAGAGCGCTGACTCTGCCAAGGAGACGTCAGACACAGCCTGACAGCAGCAGCTGAACGGGGCATCACACACCGGGGCTCACAGTTTCTAGCTGAGCTCCCTACCTGCCTCTGGAGAGCAGCATTTAGTGACACGGGCCGACAGAAGGGGCTTCTGGGCAAAGGACAGAGAGGATGGAGGGTCACTTTTTTCCTTCTGGAGCCTCCCAGCTCCATCTCATCCACAGACTGCTTTGATCTGGTCTCTTTCAAGGAAGTATCAAGTTGGAAACCAGAGAGCAGGCTTGAAAAAGCACATTTGAGTTTGTATTTGGCAAGCAATAACCACATCCAAGGGCAGCTGACAGACTGGGGCTCGGTGACAAGGTGTGGAGGTGACTCAGATTCCTGGGTGTCCTGACCCTCCCAGGCTGTCACGTGCTCCCTGGTGGCTTCCTCTTGCCCCACAAAGGGGCAGTGGGGAAATCCCCCCTGGGCACTATAATTACCCCCTGGGATCCTTTTAGGAGCCAGCCGCTCCAGCCAGCAGCAAGATGAGGCTGGGTTTCCCCGCCCTGCTAGCCCTTCTGCTCCTTCTGGGCCCGTCTGTGGCCGCAGGGGACTCGGGGGATTTGGAGCCCCTGACCCCTGACTGGAGGCCAAGCTCCTCGCCCTACTCTGACTTGAACTCTGGCTTCACCTCTGGCTCCAGATCCCATGGTGGCTCCAGCTCCAGTAGAGGTTACTCCAGCTCTAGCTCCAGAAGTTATGGCGGCTCCAGCTCCAGTGGTGGCTTCAGCTCTGGCAGCGGCTCCAGCTCCAGCAGAGACTTTGGCTTCAACAGGTCCAGGTCAGGCGACAGCACCAGGTCTGGCTCTGGCTCTGTGCCCCAGGTGAGAAGGCTCCAGAGTCCAAGAGCTACATTCATTCCCTTCCTCTCGTTTTTTGGGGACCTGAATATGATTTCATGGATGGCTAGACCTGAGCAATCGAAAAGATTTACGACTCCCTTTGTGAACTGTAGGCGCCATGAAAATGAATTAAAACCTGGGTGAAATAATTAAATTGTTAGCGAGAGAGATGACATCTCGGTTCTCCAGCTGGGGAGTTCCAGGAAGCAATCTAAGCTTTTAAGAAGGTCTCTAACCTGGCTCCACTTTAGAATGGGGGCGGGGGCAGGCAGGGGCTTTAAAAGGACAGATGCTCAAGTTCTATCCGCATGAGAACGCTTAGGTAAGGGGTCGTGGCAGCGGTAGCTCCAGAAAGGTTTGTCCAGTTGATTTGCTGCCCAGTGGGGACCCTGCGGACAGGTGGTGCAGCCTTGGAGGGAGTAAGAGCCACAGCCCTTTGTTTGGAGCCCTGCCAGTTTCTCTGAGCCTAGTTCGTAAGGGGGATGGGTGACAGAGTTGGGGGAAGGGTCCCTGATTTCTAGGAAAGTGCTATTACAGTGGATATCTCCCCGGAGGAATAATAGTTCTTTTCCAGTCTTCCTTATAGGGAATTCTTAGAGCCATTTGCAGCTGAAAAGAACAACAGAAGTAGCAACAAACGAACCAACAAACCCACAAACCAAACCATCTACTAGAAAGGGACTGGTCCAGCCAGAGGCTCCATCACTAGGACAGTAGTGAGCCCAGTTCTTAGGGGGATGAGTCGTCTGGGCTTCCTTTATAGAAATGGGAAGACGGATGGAAAGTAGAGGTGGGAGGCGAGAAGCAGTTCCTCATCTCGCCTCTGCCCACACCAGCTCCCGGCCTTTTGGAGGGAGCTTTGCCCTCAAAACCCGGGCTTTCTCTGACAACATGTGCCTTGGGGTGGGGGAGTCTTAACTCCCCCAGAGCCCATCCTGCTGTGTTTCTATGATCTTTAATCACAGGTCAGGTCTCTGTTTACATGATTACGTCTGAACGGAAGGACCAATGGGAAAAGGTGGTCGGGGGGGAGGCTTTTGTTCCCTGTTTCATTTTTTACCATCGGTACCACATAGGCAATAAAAATGTGTTGATTAACAGATGGTTTGTATAGAACTCAGCCGGAAATGGCAGCAATGGTGTTCATTGGGTGCCTAATAAATGCCAAGACTGCATTAAGTAAATGATATATATTATCTTATTTATCCTTAAGAAGTAGTTAAAATTAACAATCCCCTTTTAGAGATGTAAACACTGAGCTCAAGGAGGTGACATCATTGGCTTAAGGTTACTAAGCCGGCAAGTTCTATAGCTCAAACTTAGTCTGCCCTTGCTCTCGACCATCTCTATGTAGCTTCTGGTATTTTCATGGCGTGTAGATGAAAACTGCTAATTTTTAAGAGGAGAAAGCTTTGGGAATCATGAATATGCACAAAGATTTTTTTGTAGCCAGAAATGAGATGCATCAGATTTTCAGGGGGGACAAGTAGAACTTGTTGGCATTTTTTTTTTTTAATGAGGTAACAATAATTTATTTTGAAGCTTCTCATCAATCAGAAATCAGCATTTGAGTGAGATAATCAGCTAAAATAATAGAAAATAACATATAGGTCAAGAAATAGAGGAATCTGAATGCCTGTTGTTTGGTAAGGAGACAAATATTTAAAAATGGATAAGAAACGGTAGTTCAATTGCACTTAGAGGGTTTAATTTCCTTCCTGGTTTACTTCCTCTGGTGGGTCAGTATCACGATTCCAATTTTTTTTTTTTTTTTACAGCAGACTAGGTGTCACATCCACTGTAAACCCTTTTCTAGGGCAGGCTGTCAGCTTGATGAGCTCTTTGGAAAGTGGTGGAAACCCCCTTTATAACTGTATTTGACCAAGTTCCAAATGTATTATTTTCTACACTTTGAAAATGTTGAATACCATTATTTTATGCCTTGAATCTTTACAAGCACTTAGGCTCGGCTGCTAGTTAGAGCCAACTGCAACCTCAGATCACAAATGTGAGTCATACCTTCTCCCGTAGTGCTCAGAGCACCCTACATGCCTCAGAGGTCACCCTCCGATGAAGGGAATTCGTTTCTTCGCAGATTGAGAGAAGGCTCCATGCTTTGCTCCACGACTGGCAGAGCCACAAGCAGAAAAAGTCATGTGTTTTCGTCATCGGGCTAAGGGGCTGGTCAAAAACATAGACAACTATGGCTTTCATCATGAAAATGGGCAGGAATCGGGTCTTGCTCATCTCCCTGACACCAGACCCTGGCACATTGTAGACACTGGTAAATAGTAATTGAACACGTGCCGTGTGAGTGAGGACCTACCAGTGTAAGGCGTCCTGTGTGCACACAGGGTCCTATTTGTCCCTTACAAGGGAGATCACATACCCTTCTACTAAGCAAAGGGACAAACACTTATCTGTCTCATTCCCCAGGCTACACGCACATAGAGTTTAAGCATTCACCGCAGAGAGAGACCCATCACCATTAGCTTCATTGTCTTTGAAAGAGAGGAGCAGAAATATCTCTAATGGGAGACACTGATCAAACTTATGGACCATTCTGATGTCAGCTGAGCACGCTGGGCTGATGATAAGCAGGACGGCAGCTGGGGAGTCCACAGCACTGGGGCAGAGATGTTCGACAGAGCCGTGGAATGGCTGTCAGCAGGGCTCATAATTATTTGCCTGCCTTTCAGGTGAACTTCAGGATTAAAAGTTGTTAGCTCATGGTTTCCGGTTGATTGTCTGAGACTGCTTGACGATCTCCCCTGGTTTTTGAGTTGACAGAGCTTTTCAGAGAACTTGAAGAATGGCCCAACCCTGTCTTGTGCAGCTAATTAACTTCCCTTGTCAAAATGCAACGCAAGATTTTCTTTTTTTTGGTAGACAGTTAATCTAATAAGCTATTTCTTCAAAAGTCCATGATGTATTGGTCCTTCTGTAAAAACCTTGGCATGCTTGAGCTGGAGTCTTTCTACCTTCAGAGGGAATGATAACGCTGGCTCCAAGGGAAGCTGGCCTACCTGCCAGGCTCCCAGGGTAGCTTGTCCAGCCCGTACTCATCCCTGGCAAAGACCCTTCACTTAGCCCCTCCCAGTCCCGGTGTTCAGCATAAACCTGCTTGTCTCTCCTTCCTACTCCCCAGTTTCTGCAGATGTACGGTGTGTTTGGCAAAGAAATTCAGGCCATTGTCAGAAATTTACTTGGCACAGAGAGTTTTAGGTACAAATGATATATAATTTGTATATGTGTACACATATATTTCTTTCTGCTCATCCTAAAAAGATTAGGTTAAATTAACAAACAACTTAGTTGCAAAAGCCTAAATTATTGGCTCAGGGGTCACCAGTGGAATAAATCTTGATTATAGAAGCATCTAGGTCCATCTTGTTCAGGAATCATGGAGGTCAGTGAACGTTAAATGCACAGGGTACACAGCCTCATCTGCAGCCAGCTGACCTCCTGAACTTTGAGAGGCATCTACTGGATCTCTCATACCGCAAACCATCGCTCGCCTGTTGATTGTTTCAGAAAGAGACATTTCAGGCTGATGCTCCACAGGTGAGCTTTGGGCTGCTCCCCTCCGCCCATCAGATGAGACCATGGAAAGGCACAGCCAGTCTGCTCCCAAGAGTTACTCTGTAAGGCAATAGTAGTAATAATAATAATAATAAAAAAAATGTTAATTGTGGGATCCCCTTGGGGAAGTTCAAAGGGGACAAAAGAAAAACAGGATCTTTCAAACCCGTCATTTTAAAATATGCGGCGGCACCAAAGTTTGAGCCTGAATATTTTAAAGAAACATCAAATATTTTGAAATGACTTTTCTGCAAGTGGTAAGCTACAAAACTTTTCAAAAATTTGCACGGAACCTTCAAACTCAGACATACGTCGTTCGGTTTTTAACCAACGCTTGGTTTGTTTCCATTTTGAAGGATGTTAATTATGCAATTTCCCGGGTGAAGAGAGGATGTGAATTTGCATTGTATATATTTTCACTGGAACCCACATCCTTGAAGTTTTCCTCATTCCTACCGGGAGGAATGGAGTTAGGATTGGGATAAAGCTGAGGAAGCGAAGGAAACGGAAAGTGACTCTGACGGATCACCGACCGTGGCCAGGGGCTTGGTTTACATCTGGGTCACTCTGGAGGACAACCTGTGAAGTAGGTCCTCTCTGTTTGTCACAGGAGGAGACAGACGTACGGGGGCTTCACGCCCAGGAAATGGTAGAATTGGAAATCAAACCCTCATCAATTCTTTATTTCCCTTTCCTTACCCAGGAACAGTAATAATTTGCTTTAAGACTCTTCGAGAAGGAAAAATCGGCCTTGAGATAAAGGCGGCTGACATAGTGGTTTAACGCGACGGGTGCAGACGTGGCTAAAAGGCTCCGTGTAGTCATTGCCTGTGAAACAGGGGTTTGGGCTGCTCCTACGATTCTGTTCATTTATAGTTTGGACTCCCCTTGCTTGCTTCTAAGGACTTTTTTGAGAAGCCAGTTTCTGTCACTCCAGCTGCCAAAAAGCCCATTTCTCAGCCGATTACTGATGTCGAACTTATTTTTATTTACAGCCATTTTCAAATTTCAGCGGCTCCAAGGATGACAACGGGGCCTGCCTGTGCTCCATCACCCTGCCAGACACCACCTTTCCCGCGGACAGAGTGGAACGCCTGGAATTCATAGCTCATACTCTCTCCGAGAAGTTCGAGACAGAGCTTTTGAGAGTAAGCATATTTTTTCCCCCTCTTTTGACAATACCTGACCATGTACGAACAAACAAAACACTTTTAAAAAATTAAATTTATTGGGTGACATTATATATATAATTTCCAGGTGTACAGTATCATTCGACATCCGGGTACTGTCCATGGCGTGCTCACTACCCGAAGTCTACCTGCTCCGGGGAACGCCCTTTACCCGCACCTTCTTTATCCTCTGGGACCACCATCCGTTGCCTGTGTTTATGAGTCTGTTCTTGTTTGTTTCGTGAGTGCACAAAACACTTTTCATTCGGGATTTGGCCGGTGGCCGCTCCTCGCTGTCTCAGAGACGGCACGTGTGCATCGTGCGGAGGCTCCGTGGTCACTTACACGGAGTTCTTCATAGCAGGAAAAACGAGGGCACAGGGAGAAAATGCGACCGAGGCTATTCCAGCCAAGGATAAACTCGCTTCAATACTGTGGCGCTTATGCGGTTGGAAAGAGGCCCGAGCTCTCCCTGCAAACCCCAGCTCTACAATTTTTATTTCGTTTTGTTGTTGTTTCTTGCTGTTTTTTGTTCTTGATCTTCCCTCCTTTACCAAGCTTCTCATTCTTTCCTTTCTTTCCTTCCCTTCCTCTTTATATTGTATCTTCTTTCTCTGTCACTTTTTCTTTCTATTCTTATGTCATTCCTTCTTCCCTTAAATTGTTTTTCTCCCTCGCTTCGATGCTTTCCCTTGTCCATCCCTCCTAATCTTTCATTCCTTTTCCTTATTAATTTATTTTTTTTAACTCTCCCTGGTCTTCTCTTACTTTTGGAGGGCTCTTCTTCCTCTTCCTCTTCCGTCTCCTCCCTTGCCCCGAATCTTCCACCTCTCATCCTTCTTCCTTATCCCTCTTTTCCTTTCTCTTCCTCTTATTTCCTCTTTCCGGTGCCCTCTCTCCCTCCTCCCCCTCTCCCTGTCTCTCTTTCTTGTTGGTTGTCTCCTATCGTCTCAGCAAGAACCTTGCATTCGACGCGTCCAGCATTAGACCAAAACGGAAGGCTTCCCCGGAGTGGGACTCCAGACTCATAGGTCACTCAGCCTTGGTAAAGACCTTGACTTTGAACCCAATTCCCACTTCCCTCTAGAGGACGTTATCTTACGGGGTTTGCCTTTCTCTGAGGTAGCTGGGGCAATGGGAGTTGGCATTCCCGTTTGACCCTTTCTGCCTCTTTAGCCGAGTTAAAAATCAATTAGAAATGCTCCCATCTTCTGCATAGGTGAAGTCCGCGCTAGGCTGTAACCACATTATACATGATTTAAAACAGCTCCGTTAATTTACAAGGAGCTCCAGCTTTCCTACAAGATTGAAAATAAGTTTTCCTGAGGAATTTAAGTTTAGCTACCACAACATCCAGCATGGTTATCATTTAAGACAAAAATTACGATGAGGCCGACACCCTGCTTTCAACCTGAATTGGTAGATAAAGATTCTAAGTTTAAATGAGTGTCCAGGAAAATGTATTTGAGTACTTCAGGAAACTAGCTTTTTAAGAACTAAAATGTCCTTGAATTAATCAGCAGAAAAGGCACAGCACTAAATTATAAATTCCAACCATTAATATTCATAGCCTTATTCCAGCATAATCAAGTACAGATAAGAAGTTATGCATAAAAACATAACAGGCGGAGGAAAATCCTAGGTAAAGATCTTTTCAGTTAGAGTCATTCGCTTTGAAAGAGTGGGAGCTGCTGATTTGCATGTCTTCTCTGCTGGCAGAAGTGTGAAGGGCAGTGTGTGAAACCCCATGATGCTCCGGAGAGAGCAGGTAGCTTGCCAGGTTTGTGAGTACGGGACATTTAATTCCAATTCCGTGAGGGAGACAGGTGGCATCTGCCTTGCTAATAATTGGCAGAGGATAAGTGCAGAGTAGGTGGGAAAACTTTTAATTCTGAAATCATCAGTAGCTGGTCCTAAAAAAAATTCACTATCGGGGCTTGAGGAAGGGATTCATTCTCCTGCCGGCTGAGATCCGTGTGACAGGCGATGATGACAATAACAGTAACTTGTTATGCTTGTGTTTTATGTTTGTGATTCCGTTCTACTGTCAAGCCGCCCGTTAAGGCAGATAGGCCCCTAATCTCCTTCCCATTGTAGGGATGGAAAAACTGAGGTTAAGAAAGATAAATAGACATAACTGTAAAGCTGGTTGCTGTTTCGGCTGGTGAAGCCGGGTCAGGAACTTGGGTCTTCAGAATGAATCTCAGTTCTCTTTGCTCCTGGCCGTGCAGCTACCATCCTCCAGGGCAGATGCAAGAGGAGATGCAGGAGGTCACTAATGCCTTCAAATCCCAAGTCATCTCTTCTGCCGAGGGCTTTTGAATTTGCAGGTGAATTATTATAGCTGTCCCTAGGTTGCCTTGGAAATCACCGTTTATACCGAGGCCTGGGGGAATGAATGCCCATTCGGGAAGGCCGGTACAGAAGAGTTTTGACTGCCTTATGTCGATTCATTATCTGCCAGTACACAGAAGAGACTTATGTCTCTACCTAAGATGCTGAAAGCGTTTTATTATTTTCCGTTGTTTATGACATGTCCTCTTGTGACTATGCTTAGGAAAGGGACCACACAAGAGGCAGCTCAGGATTTCCTTTCTATGACAGCTTATGGTCTTTGGGGCAAGTTTTTTAATATTGAGCATTTGCTAACATATCCTCATGCATGAGAAGGTTGAGGTAGCCTGCGAGACATTTAGGCAACCCATAAACAAACGACATTGATTGAGCAATGTTTTGTGCAGTGAGATGTACTAAATGAAAAGGTCAGATTGAAAAAAACTGAAATCACTGTTTCACTAATAATCGCTGTAATTTATAGGGCATCCTTTATGCTAGGCACTTAATATATATTAGCTCTAGTCTTCACGATAATCTTGTAAGCTTGATACCATTACCCCCAATTTATAGGAGAAAACTAAGGCTTAGAGAAATTGATTTGCCCAGTAAGTACTGGTCAGATTTGAGTTTAAGTAGATGTAGCTCTGAAGTCTTCATATGCTGTGATGATCAATTCACATTTAATCTTGTTGCATTTATTTTTAAGGGTTTATTAAAATAAGAGTATGCTGCAGAGTACATTTACTTATTTCAAATAATCTGGCCATAGTTATCATCACAGATTTTGGGGAACTGGCAGAAACATGAGCTAGACCAGTTTTTTAGCTTAATAGCCCACTGTACCGCATCCTTATTTATCATAGGACCACATTTATCATACAGAGCAAAACCTCCCCCCAAACAACCTTTGATTCTTAGAACCCATCAATGACATAACATATGCCCAACAAATAAAAGAATGGAAGCTCTGAATGTTAAGCTGGTGGTTTAAAGGTAAACATTGATGAATCTCTTAAAGCTCAAACTTCTGGTGATGAAAAGCCACGTGGTCGAGATCGTGACACGGGGCGTGTCCCCTTAGGGTCAGACCCATATTCTTGTTACACATCCAGGGAAGCTGCTAAGATTGCAGCTTCCAGAGAGAGTGGGATGTTCTCGGAGCTCGTCACGCCATCTCAACGTCCACACACGTGAAAGGTGTGTACCAGCAATTGCTGATATTCGTAAAGTTCGCACTGTGAAGTTTTTCTGGCCCATCTTCGAATTCTCCCCTGCCCTTCCATAGCCCCATAGATGACTCCAGTTTTCTAGCACATCACCGAGCTTTCCTTTAAATGTCAGCTAAAAGAAGCCAAGCTTTTCCCCCAAACGGATCTTGAGAGACCTTTCTTTCCGTGGTTCACGGCAGATTCTCGTAGGTTGCAGACTCCAGGTTACGCCTTGGTTTTCAGCGGGAGCCGCATTTTATTTAGCAGAGATGACAGTTGAATCACTCATTTTTGTGGAACGACAGCTGCGATGTGCCATCGAAATGTTCCAGGAAAGCAGAGGGTGTTTCATTTGTTCCAAGAACTGGCAAGACCAAATGCCAACGGGAATATTCATTTCGCAAGCTTCCATTTCTGCAATGGATTGGCACTTTATTATTATTACTATTATTATTATTATTATTTGGTTATGGGCAAGTTTTTATCAATGCATCAAAAAGCTACATTCTCTTAACTAAGTCACCTCTCTCCATGTTGGTAC